TGCCTAATTAGAGCATCTAAGTTATTTTCTTCTCTCTGGGTCCTACTCAAGTGCTCTGTTCAAAGTTCTAGATTTTAGTCTGTTTCCAATAGAAACATGAATTCCCAATTCTGAGTCCCCATGAAGTCTCCCTATTCCTCCTCCACAGCTTTCTCAAGATTATATAACAAGTTTAGGCTTAGGTCAGTAAAATGACTCTGCATTCCAATCCTGAGTGTTCAAGATACCCATGAGCTCAGCTGGGTTCTTTGAGAGCTTCTGGGACCATAAGCCCCATAATCTCACCTTTGCTTTACTCCACCACAATATACATCCATTATTTTAATTTTACATAATTCCTCCAAAGACAAAGAAATAAGCCAAAGATCACAGTAAAATCACAAAGATGGAATTCCCTAGAGACTTGAAAAAAGCCATCATTTCCTGCCTTGATATGGCGGCCAGTAGCCCCTTTGAAGGAAAGCATCTGTCCTCTTCAAGGAAACAAGAAAGATCTGGTTCTCCTTTCTAGTTTGGAAAGTAGTAGGCGGTGTTATCTGTTTTACAGAGCCGGGAGCCTCATGCTACTGGGCTGCAAGCTGCTGGCTGCCTTGGTTAACGTGATGAAAATTTCATCAGCTGTCTCTAATGAAAGACGATGTGTGTAGGGCAAGATGTCAGCATCTGTGGTTGGGTTTCTCTTCCCCAGCTCATGAGTTACAGTTAGCAGGGAGCAATTACACCAATATGTAGTCTACAACCAGTCACCTGAAATTCTTGTATTTCAGTTATATGGCTAGGTAGTCTTTAAGTCTGTTTAGAAACCTTTACATGCTCTTATTTGGTTATCAAATGGTCTTTTATACCATCTCCTTCTGTCTAATAGCATTTAATCATTTGCAGCTTCTGTAAATAAAAGTTTTTATTTGAATATTTACTAACTTAAATAATTTCATGACCAAGAGAAGAATTTTACTTTTGAGGGGGTGGAGATATATTTGATTTGACACACTTTGTTCTAAACATTTCTTCTTATAGGAGATTTAATCGCAAAAGTTGTAAAATGATATAATCTGTGATGTAGAAGTGACCTTTACAGCAGTGCTCCTTAAATTTTAATGAGAATAGAGAGCATCTGGGGCTCTTGTTAAAATTCGGATTCCGATGTAGTAGGTGTGGCCTGAAATTCTACATTTCTGTCTGGCTCCCAGATGAAGCTATTGCAACTCCCTGAACTATGATCTGTGCAGCTCACCTAGAAGACCTGAGGGCATTCAGTCAACGGGCTTCCATTGAGCTTTCCTAGCACTGCTGTGAAGGAGGAACAAGACAGGCTTAAAAGATAAAGCCCCTATCTTTGAAGACAGAAAACAACCATGTTATAAACAGTTGCATCTATATCAGTCTTATTCATAAATTTTTAATAAACACATGAAATTGTCTATGTCAAAATAACTGTTGACACTTTCAAAGCACTTACCTGGGGCAATAACACTCGTTATGTATTTCACATTCTAGCATATTTATATGTCAATTTCATCATTTTCTATTCATTCATATAAGAAGCTATAGTGATGTTTTAAGCATTATGTAATGCACATTGAAGGCCTTTTAAATAAAAATTATTTTATTGCAGTAGATATTTACATTCAAATAAGAATGTTACAACTAAACCTACAGTGTATAGATATATATCGAATTATGTTCTTATATATGCACATTTTAAGATGACGTATTTTTAGTTCTTAGGGAAAGCAATTAATGAGTTTATGTGACCTTCTTTAAGATGTGTTATTTCACATTAACTTCATAATATCAGTTTATGATTATTTTTGTGTAATGAGTAACATGCTAGTATGGATAATGCAACATTAACATTATTACAAAAACCCCATTGTAATTAGCATTCAGAACTCATTCATTAGAACAAATTTAACTTTCTAATTGTGTTTTCTTTGCATAATATTAAAATATGAAACTTTTTTCATCATTTGATGGCAGGTAGGTAACTCCTAAGTGTTCCACAGACAGAGGAACCTCAGGCTAGAGTTTGCTAACAATTGTAAAGCCTTTTTACATGTCATGGTGTACTGCATTACCCAATGTCACATCCATCTCTTACACTTTTACCTCAAAAGGGCTAGAAAGCTAGTAAAGATAGAGCCAGCTCACAATTCCTCGGCTTTTCGGTTCAGTGGTTGTTCAGGTACACTAACAAGGAGATTCTGCTTTATGTTTTTGAAATGATGAGTAGAAGGAAAGAAAAGAAGAGGAAGACAGCAATATCTGTATTCTCATTTAATGTCTGCAGCAACCCTATGAAACAAGTACTGTTGTCATCCCATTTGTGGAAAAAACTGAGGTCCCAAGACTTTATTCAAGTGCCCACATCTCTGAGGTAGAGCTCTGTGGTATTTGAACCCAGGCAATTGGACTTCGTAACCCCTGAATGTTTCTAATAATTCCCCTGGGTTGCAATTATAAATACAGATGCAATAGGTACATACACTGGTAGTAAACTGATTCCAGAATAACGACTCTCCCACAGAGCCATCTGGTTTCTCTCAGCCTCATCACTGGGCCTCTCCCTTTTCTGGTTAGTAAAGAATGGTCTCCAACAGTGGTCCTCTTTCCTCATTTCCTCTCTTTCTACTCAGGATAGCAGGAAGTCTAAACATTTTATCTACTCAGCATCTCTAGTGATTCAGGCTGGGAGCACACTTCCCCATCAGTTTAGAAGCAATTTCTTGATAGTTGTGCTAAGCACTGTGAGGGGACATAATTCAGAAATGTGGCCAAGCACTAAGGAACTCAAGATAATAACAGTGGTATGATAACAAAGTTCTTTTAGGAAGACAGAGTAGGTGGTGTTATTTTCAGTTGCCAATGTGGAGCTTTTCACTGCACATGTAATTTAGAGCTATGTTTATTTGGACTGGTGTTTAAAATTAGAAATTGACCATCTGTATTTTTCTTGATAAGTATGGAGTCATCCTGACCAAAAGGTTTTTGAAGATCAGGATAGTTTATATTTGCAATATTATTTTTGGAAAAGAAGAAAGGATGAAGAAGAATTTGAAAATAACACTTAGTAGTTGAAGACTTAAGATAATTTTAGTATACATTCAGCAACATATTATGTAACCAAACTAAAATCAAAATTTTAACATACCAGTACAAGGTAAAATCACAAACATGTATGTGCTGGACTTCAGAAAATGAGATGATGAAAAGTGATCCTGACATTTGTAGTGTTTAATGTATATTTGCAGTCTACTACACTTATTTATTTATTTTACTCATTGTATGTTTCTAACAGCATGCAAGGAAGTTGATGTTATTTCGGTATTCCACAAATAAAAGAATTGGGCATAGATATGTTAAGGAACTTCACCCAGGTCATAGTTAGTGGTTGAACAAGAACTCAAACCCAGATCTCTTAAAAATCTAACTCTGAACCGGGCTTGGTGGCTCAGCCTGTAATCCTGCGCCTAGGGAGGCTGAGGTGAGTGGATTGCCTGAGCTCACGGGTACGAGACCCGCCTGGGCAACTTGGTGAGACCTCATCTCTACAATAAATCAAAAAATTAGCCGAGCGTGGTAGCGTGCGCCTGTAGTTCCAGCTACTTGGAAGGCTGAGGCAGAAGGATCGCCTGAGCCCAGGAGGCCGAGGCTGCAGTGACCGGGAGTGGCCACTGCACTCCAGTCTGGGTGACAGAGTGAGACTCCAACTCAAAAAAAAAATCTAACTCTGGTCATATTTCCCCCAAGTCAATTTATTCTGAGCTATTCAGCCTTCTTCCCTAACATTGTTTTTGATTCAGAAGTAATTGTTTTTATAGTAAAGAATGCAGTCAAATCAATTCAGCTGAAAAATACATACATCCTGAAAATATTAAATCTTAAGAAAATTGTGAATTATTTGTGGCTGTAGCACACAGTTGAAGGACAATTAATAGTTGAGACTGCAAAATGAAAGCATAATCATAGCACAAACACTTTAAATTTTATCTTATATTTGAAAGTATGTATGTAACTGCCAAAATATTAGCTGCTCTCAGAATGTTCTAGAAACAAGAGCAGAAGAACCTTTATTTGCAGAGAACAAGAAAGGTATTTTTCCTTTGGAAAGGACCTTTGTTATTGTTAACTAATGACTGAGAATTTTAGGATGGAAACCTTTGTATTAAAGTAGTGCTACTCCACTCATGCCTTTTTAAAAAACTTTTTTCACGTGATAGTTTTGTATTGCAATAATCATGCATTGCTGAAAGTTCTATGAGTTGCTTAACTACTTTTTAACAAATAATATAAAAGTTTTCTTATAAAGGTTTCATGTTCTGTGCCATATTTAGCTATTTTAATGTGTTTAGTTCTATTTATAGTCAACATTCACCATAAGAAGTTAAAACATTGTTTCGCTTTTAAAATAAGGACTTTCTCTTGTTAAACTACTTATGTTAGGTTTAGGAAGGACATTAGTGATTGCATTTCATTTTTTTTCAGGATTCTTTCCCTGAAAATAATCATAGAATGTTATAGTTTATTTTAATTGTTTTGCATGGAAAGCCTGGAATATTGCTAGGAAGAGAAAATAAAGATTTAGTGGACATAATATTTATCAACGTTTCCCAGGTAGTATTTCCCACTTGCCATTGCATTGAAAAAAAGTTGATTCTTTCCATCTGAACTTGTATTACTTTTCACTTTTTTCTCAAAAAGTACAGTCTGACTGAGTTACTAGGTCTTCATATGTTATCTTTTTTCTCATTAAAGAAAAAATACTATTTCTCTAGATGCCTGTCCTATTTAAAACACAAAGTACACAACAGCTGTTTGAAAACTTTTTTTTTTTTTATTTCTGGTTATCTTTATCTGTTTGTATAAATTGCTAAATTGCTTTCACAAAATGCCTCTAGACATAAGGGAATCATTTGCATAAGTGGATGAAGATTTTGTTTTGCATGAAGGAAAGCTTGAAATGGTCTCCTAATCAGTTTCCTTCCTTCCTCTTGTTGCAGTATCCGGCTGCCCTGATGAACCTGGGAGCTATTCTACACCTCAACGGCAGACTCCAGAAGGCTGAGGCCAACTACCTGCGGGCGCTGCAGCTCAAGCCCGATGACATCATCACACAGTCTAATCTCCGTAAACTGTGGAACATCATGGAAAAACAAGGCTTGAAGACTTCCAAGACCTGACACAGGAGGCAGAAACCCATCCTCCACTTTACAAAGCTATCTTTCTTAACAGACAGAAATTCCCAGCAGTGCTATGACAAGAGTTCGTGTTGGACTTCAAGACCAGGGCAGAGGTCACTGAGGTCACTGCCACTTCTGGAAGAATCCACTTCGCTGTTGGCACAGCTGTTAACACCAAAAAGGGGAACATTGGAACCCTCTTGGAGGATGTAATTGTTACCCGTAGACTGTAAACCAGAGCACTTAACACAGAATCTTTTGGCATTCTTAAAAGGGAGGGGTGGGTGTCTAAGTTACAGATTTTGTTCTAATTTTGAAAGCTAATCTTAAAATTATATTATTCCTTAAACACTGTGAGAGGAAGTCAGAGTGCCCATTCAGCCAGGTCAGCTATCAAGGCTAAGTGTTAATTGGGAGTGATGAATGCACAGTGTGAGTTCCAGTGAGCCACCAGTTGCCCTAACACTGCTGTCTTCCCTCTTTGGGACAGCCTGCTTATTAATTTCTGAAGCTTGGAAAACTTTTTTATTTTTAAATACTGTATCAAGATCTGTCAGAATTAGCAGTTACTTTTTGACTAGTGTACATTATGTTTTATGATTTGGACATCGTGGGCTTCATCTTGGGGGACATCATTTGCTTTTGGTATTCCAAAAAAGATATGGAGAGTAGAGCTGACTACACCTGACACTCGTGTTGTAAGAGGGACTAGGGAGGCTTTATATGTGTCAGGCAGGCAGTTTTTTTATATGTTGATGTTGTCAGTATTTTTCCCCCAAACTACCTGGTTAAATTCATTGTATTAATTCATTTGAAATTACTTTTTTGAATGGCTATTCCTGGTTAATGTGCAAGCTTGCATGAGGCTAAAGGAAAGAGAAGTTCATAAGTGTTCCAGTTCCAATGACTAACCAACAGCTATTAGACAAAAAAGAAGGTGCTTTGTGCTTCCCAGATGTTGCAAGTTAAAAAATCAAGTTTCCACATAAGAGTGTAGGATGATGGTTACCAATGATTTTGTGTTTTGGAAAGAGTTTGTATGAAATGCTAATCACTATCTAAGAGGTACCTAAACAGCAATGCTGATACATTTTCAAGGAATTATTTGTATCTTATTTTGCTCTTCCCAAAAAACCTAACAAATTACTTATGTTAAGCTGCAGTGGAGTGTAGCATTGGCCTGTGTGTTGCTAGGTTTTCTGCCAAGTGCTATTTTCAGTTGAAAACTATTTTTCACTAGAAAATTTGGTATTTTATTTTATTACCTGTCAGTAACCACTTCAATGATCATTTCATCAAAAAAGACTATAAATGAAGTAGAGGAAAACATTTACTGAGCGTTATTTTGTCTTGCAGTCAAACGTTACTACAAAAAATTAACTTCAAAAAGCACTAGTTCATTACCAACTTCTTCATAGAAAAGTTAGCTATACTACAGCCTATATATTTATTTATTTATTATTCTACCATAGCAAAATAACAAAACTTGATGCATTAAGCCAGTTATTTGCAACTGAAAATCACCTGTTTCTCCTTCCCTTTCATACTCCATGTATATATATGTTCATCATTCCCATTAAAGGGAAACTGGACATACAAATACATCATATTATGTTTTCTTCATATTTGATTTTTTTATGTATCGGAATTCAGTGGGATGAAAAATTTAAAGTAGTGTTTCTATGGCATTAGTGTTTTTTGGGAGAAGGGCAAATGTAGTGAGAGATTTTTTGATGACATTAATAAGAAGGCCCTTCTCTAATATGTATATTATTTTGTAAAGATTTCATTGAAGGGCCAAAAGTTAAATTATAACTAAATCACTGTGGTATTTAACATTTAACAACAACAAACCCGTGGTCAGACCAAAATAGTGGGTTGAAGTGTATTTTTCATCTTCTACTACATTGGCAATTACAAAAAAAAAATAAATAAATATAAAAAAGGAATTTAATATAAGGCTATAGAGATTAATTCAATGTCTAACATTTGTATTTATTTAAATAGTTATTGACCTATGATGACTTCCTAGTGTTAACATTTTATGTCTTTTTATTGTTATTGTTCTTCCTTTCAAAGATTTGGTTCTTAATAGGGTCACTGAATGCACAGTAGAGGCACTACATGTTGACCCAGTTCCCAAGTAGCATAATAATTGGGTCTGTGTCATCAAATGCATGGATCTTTAATAACTAAATTTCCCTGACACTTTTCACTACAGGGCTGGACTTAGTAACTGACCAACTCGGGTGGGGGGAGGGCTGGGGAGGTGTTAGAACATGATCAAAAAATGTCTCCACTCAGGGATTTATGGTGGATTATTGCAGACAGTGCTAAAAATATAGAGCACAAGACAAGTTTACTAAATTAAAATTTTATTTTTTGAGAAACTGTTATTTGTATAAATTATCAAGATTTGTAGGCTTTCCTTTTGTAGAAATAATTGTTTTATGTGCCAGAGAATTTCAATTTTGTTTTCAACAATAAAGCATTGATAACAAATTTGTCGTGTAAGCTTTTTTAAAATCTTCTACAGCAATAACACTTATACCTTCTTGGATTTTAGTAGATTTGGAAAAGGGTTAAAAAGAGTAGGGATTGAGTGTCTAATAGACATACGTTGTGTTTTTTTATAATCAATAATGATAATCAATTTTAATAGTTATGATAATACTGATAACTATTGCCAACATCACCAGGTCTACTATATTCAGAAAAGATGATAAAGTTTTGTTTAATTTTCTTTTATGTTGAGCTATGGAAAAAAATACTAGGAAGTATTCCAGGTAGCACATATTTGCCAATTCCCTGCTTCAATAGGTTGTTTGGTAAAAATGGCCATATTTAAATTGTTAGGGTGTGGACGGACCAGGTGAGTGTGGAGAGGCGCAGGGAGGCGTGCAGCACTGCCAGGGCTGGCAAGCCGGAGGTGCGTGCCGGCAACCCAGAGATCCGAGTAGATTGCAAAGAATTGCAACACACAGAGGTGAGAGAAGAAAAGATTTATTTAAGAAAAGTTCACCCCCCACAGACAGGAAGTGGGCCTACACTCTAGGTGAGTGTGGCCCCGTAGCCCCCCAAGTCTTGGCTTAAATCCTTTCCTTGGAGATGTTGCTCATGACTTCACGTGACTGCCCGTGTCTTCCCGTGACTGCCCATGTCTTCCTTATTGACCACCTGTGGATGTCTTGGAGGTCCTGTGACACAGAGACTCATTAATGTTCACCCACATTATCATAGCCCCTAGAGAAGGGTGTGACAAGGATTCTAATTATCCTGTATCTTCCCCAACGACATTCCTTAGAGCTAATGGAGTGTGCACTTCCTCCTTATCTCCTAGGCATTCCCAGTAGGTAGCTTTGGGGGAGATTCTTAACTTCTCTGTGGATAGGGCCCGTTCTACTGGAAGATTAAGTCCCTACCCGCTCCCTCTCTGGGCGGGCTATAACTTTTTATAATTACAAGTTTCATGACTTTTACAGTCCTTGACCAATGTATGATATCTTAGGCCTTGTTAAATTCCCTATGAGATATCTGGCACCAGGAAGTCTGTTCCAAAAAAAGACAAAGTCGGCAAAGTTAATTTTTACTTAAAGTGTGCATTTCTCCAAAAGTATAGCTTCTACTTTCTCATCATTGTATTAAGATTTAGGAAGAAGAGTAAAAAAATGCATTTCCCACTCTCAGCCTGTCCTTTCATAAATGACCTTGATTCTCTAGTTCTGGTCTTGGATGAAGACACAATCCTATTCTGCTGAGAAATGTGGGGGCAATACATTCAGGCATCAGTTATAAGGGAAACATTGGGTCCTAGACATTCAAGCTGACAGAATTCAAAGCCTTGTTAAAATTATATTTTGCCTATTTCCTCTATTATAGGATACAAGTTAGCTTGAGGAATTTATTTTATACTAAATATTCTATGGATGTATGAGGTTGCATTCCAGTTTTATTTATTTATTTATTTTTATTTTTTATTTTTTGAGTTGGAGTCTCACTCTGTCACCCAGACTGGAGTGCAGTGGCCGCTCCCGCCACCGCAGCCTCGACCTGCTGGGCTCCGGTGATCCTTCCGCCTCAGCTTCCAAGTAGCCGGAATTACAGGCATGCGCTACCATGCCCGGCTGATATTTTTGATTTATTGTAGGGATGAGGTCTCGCTGCCCAGGCGGGTCTCGAACCCACGGGCTCAGGCAATCCACTCACCTCAACCTCCCAAAGGCGCGGGATTACAGGCTGAGCCACCGAGCCTGGCTGTATTCCAGTTTTATAGATAAGGAAACCAGGGCTCAATGGTATGAAACAACCTGCCCAATGTGACTAAGCTAGCAGGCAACAAGCCTGTCCCCAAGTTGTCTGACGATGTGTCCTGTGTCATGTGGGCACTCAGGCATTGAACCAGAAGTCTAGAGATTAAGTTTCTCAACCCTCTTGGCTTTTCTCTAGCTATTTCACCTTCCACAAATCACGTTCTCTACCTTTCTCACTGCAGATGATCATCAAGATTTAAGGAGGTAATTCATAAAAACATCTTTAAAATTTGATTGTGAGAGCCAAAAACAAAAAAACAAAAACTTCAGTGATCATATACGCATTTATTTCCACCTGAGGAATATAATTCTCACAACGTATATGATTTAACCAAGACCCCAAAACTAGTTAATGGCAATATACACCAAGCTGCAGATATGTCAATCACTAGGAGATCTTCCTATATGAAGAGCTACACAATTGATTCTATTTTTAAATGAAGTATAGTTATAACTTGAATGGAAGCACTATACTCTAAAGTCAGTGAAGGAGCGACCACATCTTTGTTTGTTGGCCTTGTTTCTCCAGCTTGGTTCGTTGTTGTATAGAAGACCACAAAATATACCAAAAATGAAAATTTCAGTATTATTTGCTCATAAGCAACTCAATTTTTATATATTTAAATCACTTTCTAAAGAGAGTTTTGAGGATCTGACGACTCTGTTGAAGATTTTCACCTAAATGATGACAATCTTCACACAAGTTTCCAGTAAAAAAAAAAAGGAAATGCATCTGTCTTGGTTATTCTTTCTATTACAAGGAAAGAACCTGAGTTTCCATAGCTAATTCAAGAATTATAATAATTCCAATTATTTGTACCTTTGGGATATGATGTTTTGCTTAAATATATTCAGTACTATTGAAGTTGCTTTCTACTATTTAAAACTCAAGTCTGTTCAATAAAGGGATATGGCTAGAAAACATGTCTTATGCATCGGAATTGCTATACACTATAAGGACAGAGCAAGCTGAATTGCACTGCAATTGTGGTGACTCTTTTGTGGTAGAGAAAGATGTATGTAGACCAGGACTATCGCCTTCTTGCTGTGTCATCTTGGGTGGTCTTCCTGCAGGATGCAATCAGAGAGTACTTTGAGCCAGCTTTCATTCCATAGGCCACTTCACCACATTGGCCTTTTGTTGTTATTCTATAGAGATTTGAGATGTATCCTTTCTCCCTGGAGGATTGCTAGGATTTAAGTTTCTTGTTAACTTGAAATTCCTATGAAGTTTTTCTTCCAGGTTTCCCAAAACTTTCCTCCAACTTCTTATAGCTGCTCTCTGATGTTACCATGCTATTTATTTGCCTGTTCCAGAGAATGGAGAGAACTACTAACTACTTTTTTTAGAAAGAAAATTCTTGGGTTAAATGAGAAAGTTACAAGTATATGAGACAATGTGATGAGATAATAAAAAATATCTACAGGAAACTAAATATAATATCAAAAATGGCTTCTGAGAAATGTTTCTGAGGGTTACCAAATAGAGTCAAGGTGAAGAGAGAAAGAGTAGACACATGGGGAATTGACTGTTAATTGTCATTAGTAATTATGAAGTTTCTGTTTTAGAGATGAGGGTTTGATATGAACAGTTTGAGACTATCTGCATTCTTTTCAGTTGCCCAGTAATCTATTCAGATTGGGTCACTGTGTTGGGAAAAGAAAAAGAAAAAGAGTGCATGATACAACCACAGGAAAGGCTTGAAAAATGAACAACCGATACAAAGTCTAGACTAGAACTGTCTATCTGTTCCAGTCGGAAATGGATTTAATTTATCTCCTACCTCCTTTGGATTTGACAGTTATATCACTTATTCAAGGCAAAGCTGTCAGCCATAATCCAGTCTATTGGAGAGAATAGAGTTCTATATTTCAAGTAATAGTTCAGGACTTCTAGAAACACATTTTCTAATAATTTTCTATCATGTCTCTTTCTCTTCTGTCCTAGTAGATTCAAAATGAAATAACTCCTGTGAGACTTTCCTCTTGGTAATATCACTGAGCAGTTAGAAAGTGTAATAAAGTTTAGAAAATGTTTTGGGGGAGAAATCAAGCAATTTAATTTCCAAAAATGCTTAAAATACCATACAGAAATTAAAGTGCTTTATTTTTTCAGCTGGACACTCTTCTCATGTAATGTAAAAGATAATTAAATACCAGACTATCAGCATTGCTGAGAGAGGGACGTGTGTGTGTGTGTGTGTGTGTGTGTGTGTGTGTAGGATGTAGAAATAGTGATTACCTTTATTTTATTTTTTTGATTACCATTCATCTTAATGTGGGTCCTTTTTCTAATTTCATTTAACAAATAATGGCATATTGACTGTAATTACATTTAGCTTTTAAATTCTGGAGACACGAATGTATTTAAATATACAGAGCCAATTAATTAATAATCTCAAAAGGTTTTCATTCTTTTTATTCTTTTTGTGTTATTTTAAATATGTTGTTTTGCTTAATGTCTGTGTATATTTTATGTTTTCTTTGCAATAGGCTACTTAATATTCAATACATTTTTCTTTGCCTATACTTTATGATAATGACAGTTTAAGAAATTTCTCTGGAACTGTGTTTCAAAATATATTTTTTAAAAGCTGTCTTATGCCACCAAATGTTTTGATGTTACTACCTAATATTCTATTAAAATTTAATAATTTTGCATTATATGATATGGAAGAGTGGAGTGCATCAATATTACATTTGATTATATCCCATGAAGTCTCTCCCATTACCCTGTTGTTGTTTATAAAATGTGATCATACCAGCACAGTATTTCCCTGTATAAAAATCAAGGAAGTTTCTTGGTTAATTTGTTTTCATCTTTGTTTATAGAACCAATTATCATTTGGGCTTGTATTTAGTATAAGTTTTTGTTTTGTGAGTGATGCTGAGGATGAGTTCATTTGCTGCTATTTCTCAAGTAGTCAAAAAATGATATTCTTAGAAATAAATCATAAGACAACTCCCTCGGACCCCCTCCCACTGTGGGAGCTATTCTGTCCTCTCAAATCGTGCTTTAAAAAGAATCAATCATAAGACAAGGAAGAAGAAGCAAAGATTTGACCTAAGCACCATACACATGAGGAAGCTGTGGTTTAGAGCAGTTAATTGGCATTGCTAAGCTTACCCATTCACAGAGATCCAATGTAGCTGGCAGTGTGGAGGTATTAGCTGCAGGGTAAATCCTGCAGAG